GACTCTATGTAACATCCAAATTGAATTCTAACTCAATTCCATAACCATGAAGGCTAAAAATATGGAGAGGATAAGCAATAAAATGAGGCCAGGATCATCACCGACCATGATGAATCACACTTCATTTTTTAATCAAGATGACCAACTATTAGCACCACACTCCACTACCTAAAGAATATTCTTTGTCACAAACGAACCATGTGCTGCTATCACCACTCATCTCTCATCTCTACCCTACACGTGTATTCACTCACTCTATATATGCACTATACACTGTAGCAAGCAAAAGGAATGAAATCCTCATTGTTGAATTACTCCTGCATACTTGCCTTCGTCTTCGTGCTCTTGTTTTGCAGGTGAAGATATGTTGTGAAGCTTTTCTACATGGTATCAGAGCAGGTCTGAGGAAGAATACACCTCAGTCGCTCCCACGATGTCTCAGTCGTCATCGTCGCAGACCACAGACCAGACAACATCCAACCCAGCTTAAATACCGTCCATACCTTCATTGCTCAAGCTCATCCTGTCGCACATCAAAACCAGTGTACCCACTTCCCTCACCAGTGACAACTATCCAATATGGAAGTCACAGATCCTGAAGCTATTGAGAGCTAATGGCTTCGACAGCCCTATCGACATCGCCAAAGCACCTCCGCCTCGTCTTCTTCAACAAACTGATGGTAGCAAACTTCCTAACAAAGCCTATCTCCAATGGCATCAAATAGACCAAAACCTACCTACAGCTCTCTGTTCTATGATTTCCCCTTCAGTCATATCATATGTGCTTCATCTGGATGGATGCTCAGAAATCTAGCATACCTTGGAGCAGAGACTTCAAGCTTCCAACTGCTCTAGAGTCATTCAGTTGAAAAACGAGTAACACAACATCACCAAGAAGAATCTCTCCATGGCAGAATATTTGACCTCTATCAAATCCCTAGTCGGCAACATTGCAGCAGCTGGCTCCAACATTGAGCCTGAAGATATTGTGTTGTACATACTCAACGGTCTGCCCCCTTCCTATCAGGCATTTAAGACCACAATTTGCACCAAGCGAGGCCCCTTCAATCTCGACGAGCTATACTCCTATCTACTAACAGAGGAAATCACCCTGGCAGTTGAATTCTCATGACAACATCCTACACCTGATCCCAATACAGCACTCTATGCATCTCGTGGTCGTGGACGTCGCGGTAGAGGTCGCTCCCCAAACTATCAGTACACAAGCAGTCGCTCTACATCCTCTTCTCCCACCGTTTGTCAAATTTGCAACAAAAGATGTCACAATGCCCTGCAATGCTGGCATCGGTTGAACGCGAACTACGTTCCAGGTCCGTCACCGACCCCCACCAAGGCACTAGTTGCAGACTCGACGCCGCCCGCTCAGGACTGGTACATCGACTTGGGAGCGTCTTCCCATTTAACTCACTCCGTGGACAACCTCCAACAGCCGACATCCTACCAAGGTATGGACAGCATAATTGTTGGCAATGGACAAAACCTTCCTATAGCACACTCGGGTCCTGGTATTCTACCCACACCTAGCCGTAAGCTCTCCCTCTCTCAAATCTATCACATTCCGAATTTAACTCACAACCTCCTATCTGTTTCTAATCTCACTAATGACAACAATGTTTCCATTTCCTTCTCTACGTCCGGCTTCACCATAAAGGACCTGAAGACTCATGTTATCCTCCTCCAGGCCCTTGTCACAATGGTTTGTACACCATTAGACTTCCTACCGCGGATCTGCCACCATCAACGCTCTCAGTCACTCGTTTATCATCTCTCATATGGCATAATCGTCTCGGCCATCCACACAGTCAAGTTCTCAATGTCATCTCCACCCAAAACAACGATCTTCATATACCTGTGTCTAGCCCCGTCTGCTCGGTCTGTAAGGCTTCTAAAAGCCACAAGTTAGCATTTCAGCAATCTAACCAATCCACTAATGTTCCCTTAGCTATTCTTCATCTCGATGTATGGGGGCCTTCCCTAACTATTTCACATCAAGGATATTACTACTATCTTATTATAGTGGATGAATATTCCCGTTTTACTTGGCTTTTTTTGCTGCGTGCTAAATCTGAAACCACCAAAATCATCATCAACTTTAAGACATTCATTGAAAATCAGTTATCACATAAAATTAAATGTATACAAACAGATGGTGGTACATAATTCCTAAATTCCGAGCTGTCCTTATTTCTACAGCAACATGGCATACGCCAACAAATTTCATGTCCCTATACTCCCGAACAGAATGGGATTTTTGAATGCAAAAACAGGCACATCCTGGACACCAACAGAACCCTCTTACATACAACCAAACTTTCCTATCAGTTTTGGCCCGATGCTGCTCTCACGGCAGTGCATCTCATCAACCGTATGCCCACGCCAATACTACACCACAAATCCCCTCTCCTGTTCCTCCACAACCAAAGGCCCGATTACTCTCATCTAAAAACCTTTGGCTGTGCATGTTACCCGTGGCTACCTCCATCCAAACGTCACAAGCTTGCTCCAAGAGCTCCTCAATGCATCTTTCTTGGTTATTATGATACATACAAAGGCTACAAATGCCTCAACCTGTCCACAAACAAAATAATCATATCCCGCCATGTCACATTTAATGAAGATACATTTCCCAGCTCCTCACCCACCTATGTTCCACCTGACCTCACATCCAACCAGCCACCCCACTCAAATCCTTCTCTTATTATTCCAATTTCAACTCTATCTCCATCCACCACATAACCTAGTGCAGATCCGCAACCTCAGCCACCCTCTAACTCTCCACTTCATCACTCCCCTACTCCACATACCAATCTCCTCTCACCTTCATCCACATAAATTCCTGCTACTCGCCATCCTATGCTCACCCGTCTCCAAACGGGGCATCTAAAACCAAAGCAGATCTTCAATCTGCTTCATAAAACCCACCCCAAACAACCCTCAACTCCTCCTGGTCCCACCACTTTTATTGAAGCCAACAAATTATCTCATTGGCGTGAGGCAATGGCCATGGAATTTCTGGCATTACAGCAGCAAGGGACATGGAAATTAGTCCCCCATCCTCCAAAAACCAACATTCTCGGCTGTCGTTGGACTTACCGTACCAAACGTCACTCCAATGGCACCATTGTCAAACACAAGGCTCGATTAGTTGCTCAGGGACATCGTCAAGAACACGGGCTTGATTATTATAACACGTTTAGTCCAGTTGCCAAAATGCCCACCATTAGAGTCCTCACCGTTGCTCTTCATCCAAATGGCAAGTACATCAAATGGATGTAGCCAGCGCTTTTCTACATGGAGATCTCCAAGAAACTATCTGTCTCCTGCAAAAAGCAATTTATGGCTTAAAACAAGCCCCAAGACAATGGTTCAACACCTTCTCCAGCTACCTTCTCTCCCTCGGCTTCTGTCACAGTAAATCCGATCACTCCCTTCTTACATTCATCCAAGACAAAATCCAAATCTACCTCCTTATCTATGTAGAAGATATTCTACTCCCCGGCAACAATCCTACAGCTATCTCTACCTTTATCACTCAAATCAGCCACAAGTTTACAATGAAATACCTTGGCCTGGCTCATACCTTCCTAGGTATCACTATCCAAACACACTCTACCTACTACTTTCTCTCCCAAGCTCTCTATGCACAATCCATATTGCAACAGGCGGGTCTCTCTTCCTGTAAGCCCCTCTCGAATCCAAATTCTACCAAACCAATCACCACATATTTCTCTAATCCAATTCTTCACAATCCACTTATCTACAAACAGTTCGCAGGCTTGCTTCAATATCTAACAATTACCAGACCGAATATTGCTTACTCGGTTAATGTCCTATGCCAACATATGCATGATCCACAAGACCAACACTTCCATCAACTAAAAAGGCTGTTAAGGTACCTTCAAGGGACGACTCACTTCGGCATTCCCATTATTCCTGGAAACCTTTAGCTCCTATCCATGGCAGATGCAGATTGGGCAAGTGACACGGCCACTCGGAAGTCCACCTCCGGTTATTGCTCGTTTCTAGGATCCACTCTCATCTCGTGGAGTGTTAAGAAACAGCACACCGTAGCTCGCTCCTCTACAGAAGCTAAGTACCGAGCAATTGCTGCAGCAACAACCGACATAGTTTGGCTAAGAAGACTTCTGCAGGACTTCAACATCTACTCAGCCAAACCAACCACTCTATACTGTGACAATATGTCCGCCATAGCACTGGCAAACAACCCAGTGTTTCACGCTCGTACCAAACACATAGAGATTGATCACCATTTCATACGTGATCACATTCATGCGAAGCACATCATACTGACTCCAATCAGTACACTGGATCAAACGGCCGACATTCTCACCAAACCACTTTCCACAAAGCGTTTCCAGCATCTTCATTCCAAATTGTCCGTTCAACTGGATCCGTCAATTTGCGGGGAAGTATTAGCACCACACTCCACTACCTAAGGAATATTCTCTATCACAAACGAACCATGTGGTGCTATCACCACTCATCTCTACCCTACACGTGTATTCACTCACTCTATATATGCACTATACACTGTAGCAAGCAAAAGGAATGAAATCCTCATTGTTGAATTACTCCTGCATATTTGCCTTCGTCTCCGTGCTCTTGTTTTGCAGGTGAAGATATGCTGTGAAGCTTTTCTACACCAACTATATTGCATGTGACAAATAACATTAATAGCTCTGAACAATGTTATTTGGATAACATCAAATCAGATGATCCTTCAATCAATTTAAGCATGTAAAAATTATATTGCTAAAAATTCACGATCAAATTCACTAGCAGCATGCATTCAAAAAAATTGATTCATACAGGAAACGTACAAATAAAATTTTGAACATAAGGTTTAAAATCTAATAGCTAAACTCACTTATCGTTACTGCTAAACAATGATAAGTAAAAGTTCCCAATATTATTTCTTGAGACATAAATAAAAACTAAAAAGTGTATCAAGAAAAAACCTGATCGCGTATCCAAGCCCCAGGAATACTGAAAGACTCTAGCAAATCAGAACCGCATAGAAGCATGACTTTAAGTGAATCTACATCACAGACAGCAAAATAGTGAAAGTGAGAATTTTTCAATTTAAATAAAGGTAAAAGTTTGCTCTGCTTTGATTGTATATCTACCTCTTTTAATCGACCCATCTTTACACAAACCATCATGAATTCTGGATAGAACAGTTAATGTCCTTTGATAGCTGCTTTGGTTTGCCTGCAAGAACTCAAGATAATCAATGATTTGCGACAACAACAACAACAAAAAAAAGAATGGTATGCATTTAAAAGAGTTATTTAGATAAGCTTAGCTATAAAAGTCGTTAGTTTTGATTCAGCTATCATAGGCCTACCATAGATATCTTTCTACCTGCAAGTTCCATTTGGAGAAAGATTACAAAGAAGGCCATTTCAACCAAACTAGCAACGTAAAAAAGGTCCCTAACGTCTTTAAAAGTTTGCTCTGCTTTGATTGTATATCTACCTCTTTTAATCGACCCATCTTTACACAAACCATCATGAATTCTGGATAGAACAGTTAATGTCCTTTGATAGCTGCTTTGGTTTGCCTGCAAGAACTCAAGATAATCAATGATTTGCAACAACAAAAAAAAAAAAAAATGGTATGCATTTAAAAGAGTTATTTAGATAAGCTTAGCTATAAAAGTCGTTAGTTTTGTTTCAGCTATCATAGGCCTACCATAGATATCTTTCTACCTGCAAGTTCCATTTGGAGAAAGATTACAAAGGCGGCCATTTCAACCAAAACTAGCAACGTAAAAAAGGTCCCTAACGTCTTTTTTCCCATGAAAAAAAAAACTCCAACAACATAATGAAGAGAGATTTTTGAATATGAGAACAAAAAATTTCCATTACGAAAGTTAACAAGTTGAAACCACATGGCTACCCAACGCACACAGAGAAGTTTAAAGACTACATTCTTATTTGGACTGCATACTAACTGTCACAAAAATGTTTTTATTACCAGCTTATTAGCATTACTGATGAGGACATCGAAGATCAACGGCTACGATCGTGTCTATTTATTTTGATATATTTTATGTATTTGATTTATTAGTGTTCTTTTTCCTTTTCTACCCTCACTTGAGGGCTTTGTCTTACGTTTGCCCTAGAGGCAATTGTGTCTTTTTATTTTCCTTCATGTATTTGGTTATTTAAGCCTTCTCCCTCCTCTTGGAGAGGGAATGATGATTAATATGAAATTTTTCAGTTTGTGCTTATGGATGGATCTCTTTGTGAGTTCTAAGTTTCTCTCTTTGGATGATCTCTTAGTGAGTTCGTGAGAGGAGAGGCCCAAGTAGGGCAAAAGCAATACTCGTCAATCTTGGTGGATTCCAAGGTTCGCGATTCTCTTATCTTTCTTTTTTTTTTCTTGCTTTGAATCCCCTCCCCAATCTTCCCACCCGCCGGCCTCCTACTCCCCTTCCCCTTCCCCTCCTCACAAAACCGAGCCCACCTTCACTGGTCCACCACCCCCTTAGCCGCCCAAACCGCCGGCCACAAGTCCGGCCGCCGGCCAACCCTCCCCTCTCCTCCTCCACTTGTTCCACCCGCCGGCCCACCCACCATAATCCTTCAAATTCGAATTTTGAAATTCAAATTCTATCATAAATACTTTCCTAAATTATCTCTATGTGATTTAGGAGGGAATCCTTGTTGGCAATCAATTTATTTTGAATTTCAAAACTCCTTCATATGTGAGTTAAGTTCCATTAGGAAGTTT